TATTTTACTTATTGAAGTTTTTTGTGTTGCTTCTGATCTGTATATATGTTGTTTAAATTTGATCTTTAATATGGCTACAAGCCATGTTTGGATTGATCCGGTAGCGGTTGGACTTAACGTCACTTATTCATCTTTGTTGGATACTCTTCGGAGTAATTGTAACCTGAAGGTGCATCAATTCCAGGTATTGCTTTGTATTCCATCCTTTAATATAATACAGACCGTTTTCTCCTAGAATTTTTGCGTTTTCTGGACTTTGAATTGGGGATACGCGTTCGGATTGCACTTATTGGAAACCATTTGAACTGCTACGGTAGAAAATCCATTTATACCCCCAGTATCTGTTAGCAATGCAGAGCGGTGGTTGAACTTGAAGAAGGGGAAGAGCAACAACCCAACTCAAATCCGGCTACCACCCAAGAACAGGGACGACTGATTAAACTCACTTATTTTATTTCATGTCCCAGTATCGGAAGAAAGCTTGCTAGAAGGTAGGGCTGTCTTCAACAATGAAAAGTGTGACAAACACTGTGCTACCCTCGGAATATGCAACGTCCCAGACAAAATGTCACCTTTCCAAAGATCAAAATGTCTCGAGAGGAAAACCCCCTCCAATCAGGGTAAATCTTGACTCGGAACGACTTGCTGAAAACATCATCCTTTAATCCCAAAGACCATCGGTCAAATTGCCCCCACCGATTTGCATCGAGCATGACAAACCGTGGTCGGTACGTGCGGCAGCCAGGACTACGCCAGGCACCCAAGAGCAGGCCACCATGGTAGTTCACGATGTACCCGAACTCGCTCACAGTAACCTGGACGAAGCTCACGAGCCCGATGTGCAACAGTGGCGATGGCTATAACGTAGCCTATCCCTTCACACCAAGATGGCTGTTTGCATTTCTAGGTTGCCCCGCCCGTCACACTTTACGTCCATCAAGTCACCACGCCTGATGGCTGTAAAATTTAGGAACCGAAAAGGCCTGATTGAAGCACTCCAAGCTTGGTACAGTTTGAGGAACGATCTGTCTAGCCACATCAGGTGTTGCGAAAGCCGACCTAGATCTGTGAGACAACAGCAGGGAGGCCACAATGAACGCATAAACTGATAGTTAACCTCGGTCAACTACCCCTGGCACAAGATACGACTGAACCAACCGCGCACACAAAAAACCTGCAGAGGCCAGTTCCCACAGAACTGGCTGATTTGGTTTGAATAACTTGTTTGAAAATCCGACGACGAAATACTTGATTGGAGGGAGTTACCGACCTCCTTCGGGTACTAAGGCCCAGAAGAGCAAACTGATTGAGGTAATACTGCAACTGCCACTCCTGGGGTTTGATCAAATACTCTTAGCTGGAGATTTCAATACTCCATCTTCAAATCTCAGTAATAAGAATATAACCCGCACTGGTTGGTTCCAAAGACAACTTGGTACAGCCATTAGAAGCTCTGGGCTGACTGAGCACGTATGCAGTGCCACTAGACGGACTAACGAGGGAAAGTTCCCAAACCTGGATTATCTGTTAACAAATAACCAGATCCTGGTTGAGGATTTTCACGTGCACACATCAATAGGTAGTAGTGACCATGGCACAGTCATGTTTAACATGGTCATAAACGAAACACTCACACAGGACGATAACGAGCCCTATCTTTGCTACACTAGGGCAAACTATACGCGTATGAGAGAGTTCCTCCTACATGCCCGATGGCCACGGGAGTGGTGGAGGCTGACAGTGGATGACCACTGGCAAACAGTGAGAGATATCATCCAAAACGCTGTCGTAGACAATATACCTCAGTCACACCACACACACGGAATAGAAGAACCTGGGTTAGGTGCGGCACTGAACGCTTGCTATAGGCGAAGATGAGAGCCTGGCACAAGTGGAAGGTCTCCTTTAAGGATTCCGATCGCAATTCCTACTTGGCATTGAGAAACAGAAACAATACCAAAGTCCGAAATGACAGGAGAAATTTGCAGATGAAGCTAGCTGCCAAAACAGATGCAAACCCGAAGCATCTGTTTAGGTTCCTGTCTAAAAGAAAACCTACTAATCAAGGGTTGTTTTCTCTCAAAGGTCCAAACGAGGAAGACCTCACCAACCTAGAGATGGTAACTGTATTGCATTGATGCCTGACCAATAGTTCATACGTTGTAACTGCAGACAAGTTTGTGAAAGGAACTTGCAGAAATAGTGTTTCTCAGCAGGATGTGAGACACAGAGCACCAAGTAGAACACAAAATAGTTTCTTTTAAGCATTTAACATGAGCCTAACAACACAAAAGGAGGGAGGGTGGAGTTACTGACCAGCAAACATTGATGGTATGGGCGATGACTCCTAACTACCCATGTTTGTGGGGCAGAACATTTTGTTTGCTTTCGGCTCTTTATATTGATGAGGCGACTAATCAGTAACACTGAGGTTGCTCTTATACGCTTGCTACTTCTGTGGTTCATGTTTCCAAAACTATGCCGGGGTCGCTATTCTGTCAAGACACCTACAACATGCTTGCTCAGGTGCCCACAGTATGACTTAGAGGTTGGGACTCAACAACAATAAAAAACAACAGTTAGACAGTGAGAACTTTTCATTGTTTTCTTTTTACAAACTCTACTATTTCAACTTAAATTTCGATTTCACCGGACATAAATCCAGCTTCTTACTTCAACATAGTTCTGAAATTTTATTCATATTAGCATTAGAATTTTATCCTTACTACCCTTACTACTCTCCACATTGCGACTAACTGATCTCCGGTCTGGTAATGTGACGGCTGCTAGTATCCAGAAACCCTACTGCCCTGAAACAAACGTTTCATTCAAATCCCGAGACATACAAACTCACAACCAACTGCCAACTGACTAGAATTAGACAGTCGAGTGGCTAGACCTCCATCCATTGGACATTACGGAACACCTGGAACCGTACCGATAGAACAACAATCGAGCGCGAAGAAATCGATTGGTTTACACTAGTTTGTGAAAAAGATGTTGGATATTGGAAGTTGCCTTCGCAAAAGACGAAGAGTCGTATTTGCCTTGGTTGTGTTCCCTATATTGTTCGGGCTTAAAAATGAATCCTGTAAGCTTGCAAGATAAAAATTTGAAATAAACGTTCGAAATAAACTAGTGCAATAAAATTGACAGATACAATGAACGAGCAAGAACCATACAGAAATGAAAAGAAAGGACAACACAAAATTCCCTTTTTACCCAGATTATAATTACTGGACCATGAATTACGGATTATAATGCGTCTATCGAGAATCTATTATCGCCTTTTGCACTTAGGCATACATCACTTTTACACTTTTCAAAGAATAGTCTTCACTTTATTCGTTTTAAGCAACTATCACAACGACCTATGACCTTGTAACTAATTGAACGTCGCCGAAACATACGGAACAGCGGGAGATTCCTACAGAATTTAACGTTTTTATCGTGTTCGTCAGAGAAATGCATGGTTAGTGTTATCACTTTTGTTTTTTTGTCCGCAATTTATGAAAACGTGTTCCTCTGTAACTCGTCGCTTATTCTGTGGATCAATAGGTTCATAGAGCCGTAACATCAAGCCTAATATCCTCACTATATATCTACTAAGTAAACTGTGAATAAGTTAGTTTCGGAAAACTAACTGCATATTTTGTGAGAAAAACGTGACAAAGTTCGGTGGAGGTTAATAACGGATTGTAAATTTATATTTATTTGAGCTTACTATTATTCCTCACGTTATAGCGTGACGTGATTTTTTCCGTCCTGAATACGTCAACGTAGCTATCTAAATATTTTATGCACCAGGTTATATTCGAAAACGATACTGGAATATACGTCGGTGATATCGTTTCTGCTATGCTTATGAAGAACTCGTTCTTAATGATCAATCCGATTTATTTTGTATCACAGACTAGTTCCGTATAAACACATTCAGGTATATCGATCCTAAACGGACACACTGAACGTTTAAACTGTTCAAGTGACTCTTTCCTGTAGCTAATTACTGTGCTCTTAGAGCGAGCGAAAATTAGTTATTGGCGGACTGGCTTTTAATCTCTACTAGTGAGTCTTGCTGTTGGTAATGTCCTATGGTATTTTAACTTATGCAGGACCAAATTATAGATATTTATTTCGTCTCACAATTGTTATGATATATAGTTTCCCATTTAATATGCAAAATCTGGTGCACTCGTGCACTAGGTATGCAGGTTCCACGTAGGATCAACGAAGTGCGGAATCTTGGACGATTCTTTGAGCCACATTAAGAGTTATTGGCAGTACGTCGCTGCCAAAACCTAATTGCGTGGAGTGGGTTCAAACCCCTGACGTATTGTCGGAAAAATTTAATTTCTTAACCACAGTTACTTCTCCGCACTCATATTTACGCAGTAAATTTCCAGCTTCTGTACTTTTTTAGCTGTTAACGCAGTTGACAAGAACCCGGTCTTTTTACAAAATAGAAGTTTAAAATCGCCTTCATGTTATTCACTCCTACAGCTTTTTAGAAACCATGCACAATAGGGTACGAACTACCGTAACCTATGTATCATGAGCAAGTTGATCTTGTGTACTGTTAAGGGTATGAGGGTAGATGTCAGTTCTCGGCTACCAACACCGTGAAGGGTACTTCATTAGGACAACATTAAAAGCAAGTTAGGCTAGCGTTGATCTTAGCGACCTGGGAATGTGACAGCAGAGCCTAAATGACAAATGCTCGAAGCCGGTCACACACAGCCTTTTTGTAGGAGGTTTTTGAGGTGCTAGCTTTGCTTTTCAGAAGGCCTTACCGCCCGAGACAGGAGTCTGTGGAGTAAGGTGAGGCGTGAGATTTGTAGTTTCGACCTTTCCCTAACCTCTTCCTTCCGATGTGAAGAGGCAGCATCTCTGCAAACTCTGTTTGTCTCAGAGAAACATTTTACTGCTGTTACACTTCTCTACAGTCAGCAGTACGACTTCACCCTCAGACCTTGGGTTGCTGCTTTTAATCTTAACGTTCTCTAATCAAGCTGCCCGGCATGGTAGGACCTTAAAAATACTTGTTCCAGCCACTATAGCTCAGCTGAATCATAACGAAATGCAAGCCGAACCACCACATCAAAGTAGCATTCACAGTCCGGATAACCTCACTAGTGTTTACTGTCATTTTATGTTACGCTAAACCTGTTCGACTCACAAAATTTTTTCCAATTTCTAATAGAATGTTAATATATTTGAAATGTTTTAGTCGTTTTCATGCTCAGTTACCTTAATTTCTAAAAACATCTAGTTGAATTAATGAACTTGGAGAATGCTGGTCTCCAGGACCGTGTTATAGATTTGGAAAAACGAAGTGCTGAACAAGCTAATGAACTTGCTTGTTTAAGAAGCTCTTTGGCTGATTGTCTGCGTCGCTTAAATCTTTTGGAGAATGCTAGAGGTATGAAATCACATTCTTCTCAAAAAGCAGTTTTGCACAGTAATAGTAAGTATTCACCCCTTTTATTTTTGTTTACCAGAGTTCTTTTTGGTAATTGTTATTAATTTTTACTAATTTACTAATAGTCTGAATTGTAGTAATATCAGTGTATTGTTATAAACCAGTAAATTTTATGTATACCTCGGTAGTAAATTTGCTCTCGAAAGAAACCGCAAATATTAACACATAATAAAGGGGTAACCATTCAGATTCACTGGGCAACAGTATGTTTGTAATTTGATCTAAATTGGACTTGATACATTTAGAATTAAAAGGACTTTTAAGGTTTTATTGGTGTTGTGTCTGTAAAATAAATTTTCACTTGTAGTTCTAAGAAGTAGATATGTTATGGCCTGTTTTAAGATTGTGAGTATACATGGCTAGTGTCTGAGACGTATTTTAAATTGATCACTTTTTAAGTCCCTGACTACCCAAAGATATTTATCGCTTTAGATATTACACTGGTTGAAAACATGAATGACCAACTGTTTAGTGACTTATAACTATTCTAATAATATAAGCAAACTACTAAGTAAGATGGAGTTTAAATTTTAAGTTAAGATGGTTATGAATAATGCTGAATTAAAAGAGTGAAGGGAATTCAGATGATATAAAATATGTTTGTTGATAACAGTTCTTCAAGGTTATGAGTGGGCTCCGGAGAAGTTATTAATATTCTTTCTTTTTTGGAGAAATTCACGTTACCTGAGCATTTGTATCGTAGCATAATATTTTCTATTCTGGAATATCTAATCTAATTACCTGAAGCTTCAAACTCAAAAGGTAATGAGTCAGTGTTAAGGGGGCGCATTTGTTTAAAATCAAGTTTTCAACATAGATTCATTGAATATTTTATCCTTAAGTATCCTGGAACATAAATTTATCAAAATGAAATAATGTAGTAATGGCATGTTTATCGTTTAAGTTTGTCGTACTGTTACAAAGCACCCAATGATGTTTTAATCTACCGCCTAAATGCCCTGATATGCTTGAAAGTGAGGGGAACACTCTTTCTTCTTCTCGAAATGCTCTCATATTGCCACACGTGTTTATCCATTACCATGGAACTGTTACTACCTTCTGGTAGCTAGGGATGTTAGTAAATGCTCAATTCTTAAACTGAGTTGTTGTTTACGGAGGATACACCTAGGAATGTTTCAGAAGTTTAGTTCCAAATCAACGGTCCACATGGTCTCCAGGATATTAAGAGAACAAATGGCGCATGAACTTACTGTTAGTGACTGGCTACCATGAGACTGAATCTCCTGACATTGCTCCACCAATACTTGGATTCAAGCTTCGGGTCGAAGGTTCCCGGGAGTGACCCTCTAAGAAAAGCATCGCGCCTAAGCTTTTAGCAGCCAAACAGTATCCTAGTCCAAACAAAAATTTATTGATTTGTACGATGCATACATATTTAGGTGCTTTTGTGTTTAAATGATAATAATAATAATAATAACTAGTGTAAATTGTGGCATTTCAAGATAACTCACTTTTGTACATGTTCTATCTGCTTGTTATAGTTGAGGGCAACAAGATATATTGGGAATACGAATATGTTGTTTTTAAAACAGATTTTATAGCTATCTAAAACTTTTACTACTACTGTACAAATACTGTGTTTTTTTAAAAACAATTCTAGATCGTACTGTAATGACAAGATTAAAATAACTTGTAACCTTTTCCCAACAGAATAGTTATTTAGTAGTTAAAGTTTTCAACTTTCAATTACTCGGTTACAGTTTCTAGTTTCACCGCGCTTATTTCATTTAGTTCGGTCAGTTAAATGGTGTATGGCTTAAAGCTCAGTACATGAATTTGTATGTAGTCTCTTCCCATATCCATAAGAGATCAATTTCTATGACACTATTCGATTTCTCAAAAGTTATTCAGATAGCTTTCAAAAAGATTCATGTTTGTTAATTTATGGTAGTAGGAATAGTGAATCTAATAATCATCATCAGTTTTTACCCTGCCACTTTCAAGGAAGCTTTTTTTATTCAGCAATACTTACTTACTTACTTACGCCTGTTATCCCCAATGGAGCATAGGTCGCCCACCAGTTTTCTCCAACCAACTCTGTCTTGGGCTTCCCTCTCCAGTTCTGTCCAATGTTTGTTCATTCCTCTCATATCTTTCTCTATTTCTCGGCGTAATGTGTTCCTTGGCCTTCCTCTTTTTCTTTTGCCTTGAGGGTTCCATGTGAGGGCTTGTCTCGTGACGCAGTTAGGTGCTTTTCGTAGTGTGTTTTATCCACTTCCACCGCTTCTTCCTGATTTCCTCTTTCACTGGAATCTGGTTTGTTCTCTCCCACAGTACGTTGTTGCTGATGGTGTCTGGCCAACAAATCCGAAGTAGTTCGCGTAGACAACTGTTAATAAACACTTGTATCTTTTGGATGATGGCTTTCATAGTTCTCCAAGTTTCCGCTCCATACAGTAGGACTGTCTTGACATTTCTATTGAAAATCCTGATTTCGATGTTGATTGAAAAGTTGCTTGAAGTTCCAGATGTTGTTCAGTTGTAGAAATGCAACCCTTGCTTTGCCAATCCACGCCACGCCCTCACATATGCATCGGATCCATCTTTCTCGTCGATGATGCTGCCCAGATATGTAAAGCTGTTAACGTCCTCCATTGGCATCTATCTCCATCAAGAGTGATTTGGTTGGTGCATGTTGTGTTGCATCGGAGAATTTCGCTTTCAGCAATAACAATGTTATTATTAGTAATAATAATAATAATAATAATAATAATAGGAATTCATTGTATCTGTAAATACTAAGATAATTCTCATTACTTTAAATGGATTAAAGTAAATATGGATAAGAACAATAAAAAAAATTGAATGAATCACGTGTTTGTGACCCTAAACAACATAAATGGGACTAAATCTTTTTTCTGTTTTCTTTCTACTGCTAAATCAATTTAACGATTAGTTAGTTATATTACAGATTTTAGCACTTTTGTCATAAATGTATATCTATCTATCTATCTATATGTGTATAAATGTTTGTGTTTAACCATGATATAATTTGTTTAGAGTAGAAGGTTTATTCGATGGGCAGAAAACTTTAGGGATCAGTTCAACTGGCCACGAGCCACTCTTCGGTTACCCACGATCTTCAGTCATCCTGAATGGCAAGTCGACGTAAGTCCGCCTAGTCTTAATGACGTTGAGAAAGCGTTAGGAAGTCTGAAGCGAGGGCGAGCTGCGGGTCCTGATAGACTGACCCCTGAGATGTTTAAGGATGGTGGTCCAGTTTTAGCAACTAGGTTGACCGAGATCTTAGGTAGAATCTGGGAAGTGGACGTAATCCCATCCGACTGGTCTCAATCACTGATTGTCCCAATCTATAAGAAAGGACAGAAGTCTTCTTGTGACAATCACAGGGGAGTCAGTCTAACTAATATAGTATCTAAAATATTGGCCTCAGTAATACTTCGACGCTTAACGAAAGCTCGTGAAGAGCAGATTAGAGAAAATCAGGCTGGTTTCAGACCTGGACGTGGTTGTATAGACCACATTTTCACACTACGACAGGTCCTGGAACACAGACACACATTTAGGCGTCCTACAATCGTTGTTTTCTTGGACCTAAAAGCGGCATTTGACAAGTTTGTACTGTCTTGTTCTTCTTCTTCTTTCCAAGCACCTTTAAATTCTTCACCTTAACCAACTTCATAACAATCAATCAATCAATCAGCCAATAGCAACGTAGAACTTCGTAGGTACGTACGTACATACGTACATCATGTTCATGTTGCCATACTATATTAGCACAGAGAAATGGAATTGTCGATTTTAAATCTCATAGTAGTAGTAGTAGTAGAGGTAATAAGGGTATTAGCAGTAATCGAAGAGATTAGCGTTAGAGAAGATATTATTTATTATTATTCAAGAAGTTAGAATCTACTGAAATAAACCTTATAAGAACATGAAATAAAATATTATCAAATGACAGTGTTTTCACTGGCAATATTTTCTCAACAAAATTCAAGCATGATGTTTGTCTTTCTAACCTAAATCTGTTAACTATACATTTCCTATTCTTAATTATTCACATCATATCACATATATTACATGCCAAAAAGAAACTTTAATACCTGTCTAATTGATTATGCCTATTGTTTCACGTGTCTTTTATGTTTCATCCTCGATGATCATACAATATAATAACATTAGATTATTAGATTATCGACTAGTCTCACTAGGTCACATGATACATAGATAACACAATTACGACTAGCAGTTGAGAGCGTCAGACCCTTGATAGTTGAAACAATTGGTTTGTTAGCACTTATCTCATTGAATCATACTTCTTGAATAATATCTTCTAATCCTAATCTCTCCGATTACTTCTAATACCTTTACTACCTCTTCTACCATCGGATTTGAATTGACAATGGCGTCTCTGTGCTAATGTGGTATGGCAACATGAACTGATGTACTTACGTACAAAGTTCTACGTTGCATCTGACTGACTGACTGACATGTATTATGAATAATGCCCAACCACCGACTTCCCTGATGATGAGCGTTGATGCTTGGTGTAGGGTAGGGTAGAAGAAAGTTAGCGGTGGCCAGATCAAAACAAGTCACTGAAAACTGGTCTGAGCCATGTTAGTAGGTGTAGATCACTTGGTTGGGATCGGCGAGACAATGGTAATCAGTGGCGCAGATGCATCCATTTTGTCTTCTCTCAACTTCTAATCTCCTGAATTCCTCATGACCGTTTTTTCTCTTTTTAAAAAAAAATATATTTCAATGAATTATACTCTTCGAATCATCTCTTTGGTCCCTAATCTTCTTCGATACTGTTAATACTGTCACAACCTGTACTATTGTAGTGAAGGAGAACACAGGTGAGGGCAACCGAACCGAATTGTATTTATCTCAAATTACAGAGTTAATTGGTAAAATAGAAAAACCATATCGTAAATCGTTAATTTGCAAAATATCAATCCATCATATCGAACTGGACTGCTCCTGTTGCAAACATCTAA